CATCTGCAGAGAATGGCATAGCTTTGCTTCCAAATCCCAAATATGTATGCTGCGAGCTCCATGCAGTGTCCATATCTGTCATAGACACTTCATATGTCATCAGATATATATCAGGGGTCATAAAATCATTTCTGTAAAGAGCCAGATAGTTAATATTTTAGGCTTTGCAGACCACACAGACAACTCTCACAATTACTCAACTCTGCCATATTAGCCTGAAAGCCCCATAGACAAAATGTAGAGCAGTCATGGCTGTTTCAGTAAAATTTTATTTACAAAAACAAGTGGCAGCCAGATTTGCCCCTTGGGCAGTAGTTTGCCAATTCCCGGATTAAACTGTGAACAAAGATTGAAAAGTTGGTATAGCTCTGAGCTGGGACCATAAAAGCATATTAATGGCCCTACCAGATGAAACTAAACTTCTTTGGATGATGTTTACTAATAGGTATAGAGGGAAAAAAGCACGTTAGCACAATAGCTGCATATCAGGTGCCAGCAGATGTGCTGATTCACTCCAGCAATAAAACCTCATCTGAAGCTGCAAGTCATGTCAAGTCCTAATTAAATTTACAATAATCCCATGTCATTCTCCACGATTCACCTGTCTTCTGCACAGGTCACATGAGTAAACTGAAGAGGGGTATGGTAGAAAACATGACCCCTATGACTTCCAAGATACCGCTAGGGGTACTAATCTCTAGAATCCTTTGAAGAATGTGGTATTGCTTTTGGTTTTCTATTTTGGTACATACAAGGCAGTTACAGTGTTTACTTGTCCTTTCTTATCAAAATAGTCCTTGTTTCATTGGTGAGGGAACCAATGTGAGGATTCTGCCAATTGTTGGGTATTTCTATTGCAACTCTGCATTCTGGAACTTGGAAAATAACCAGATGACGGGCTCAGGAATCCATTCAGACCACCACATACGGACCTGAGCAAAAACATCCATTATTTGTTGTTTATAAGCCCCACTATTAATTGCTGAGCACAATGCACTTGAGGTTCTAGGAGTAATGTCATCTCTAGTGTCCAGTAATCCCTCCATATTCTGGTTATTTCCACTTACCTAATATATAACCTCCATAAAATATAGCTGCAAGTCACTTTGAGGAAGTCTAGAACAATTTATGGTATATAGTTTTGGCAATATATCAGATTCTTTAAAAGGGACCCAGCCTGACCTTTAAGGTGCTCTGGAAATGGGAACTGACTCACGTTATGGAATTGGCTGAGGGGCCACAACTCTCATGTTGACTCAGGCCAGAGTAAGAAAAGCTCACCAGAGGATCTAGTTTCCTGCAAGGAAACCATCTTGGGGGAGATCATTACAGGTTCTTCAGGCAAGAGGAGACTATGTCAGAGCAAAAGGCTTCCTCCTAATGGCAAAGGAGACTCACCTAAGTTTAGAGGTCAAAGACCTCAACTTTGTTAGAATCTGCCCATATATTCCCACCTCAATTTTTCAGGATTCTATTCCTTCCCTTTGATGCCCTATAACGTAAGAGAATCTACAAGGTTGTGAACCAATCAATGTGTTATCATTCAGTTGCTGACTGAATTTGACTTTGGGTCCCTTTTTTGTTAAAAAAAAAAAAAAAAGAAAGAAAGAAAAAGAAATGCTTACTCTATATAACAAGTCCCAAAGTGTTAATATGTAGCCACGCTCAAAACTAAGATAGGAAAATCCCCCAGAGGCCAAAATAAGTGTGAGCCGATGGTGCCAAGTAGGAGTTGAGACTAAATGGCCTGCAAAGGCCAATGGAACTGGATACACAGAGGTTTAATCTTTAGTGTAGATGGGAGTCAAGGGCAGAGGAGCCATGCACACTCGGAGAGAGTAGTGAACTATCCATTATTACAAATGAAAGACTAGTTCTCTTTCACTGGCTGTGAAGAAACAGGAAGTCCCTATTGTTACCACCATCTTTGGACCAACCTAAAGAACAAGATCAGTCAGAAGGGCAGATAAAAGAATCAAAAGGAAACCATTCTGAAATCCTGACTGAACCAGGTTGAAATTCTGCTCTACCTGTGGCTTTTCCAGTTATGGGAGACAAATCTTTTTGGTTTAACACAGGGATCAACAGGTGTTTTCTGTAAAGGGCCAGAAAGTATTTTGGGTTTTGTGGGCCAGTGTTTGTCACAACTACTAAACTGTCACTGCCATGAGAAAACAGCCATAGATACATAAATGAATGGGCATTACGATGTTCCAATAAAGCTTTAAAGGTAGTGGACCACATTTGGCCCACAGGAAAACAGCTTGCCAACCTTCTGTTTAACACACTAAATTAAAATTACCTTGAGAGTTGATGGGCTATCCTGGTATCTACTAAACAAAACTAAACATGGAAGGCCTAGGATTTCTCATATCTAATGCAACTTGAGGTAGCATATACTTTACATAGCATGTGAAGGTGTGGTCCAAGTCAACTTTGGAAACCATACATATATATATATATATATATATATGTATGTATGTATTTGCTGAGTAAAGCCCTTTAACCAAATAAGCGTTAAGTATCAGTGAAATGACTAAGTAGGAAATGGTATTCAAACCCGCTCAACAGCTTGTTCCCATCATGCTAGATGCTCCCTTATGGGTATCTTTTCCTTAGGGAATCTTTGTTAAATTTTACCTCAAAACATAGGTACCTTCATTCTCCATCTTCATCATTTGCCTACTCAGTTACTCTGTAAACAATTTTCTCATCATTCCTTTTCTCCCACAGCTCAAGGTTCTCTGTGCCATGGTGTCTGTAAAGACACAGCTACTTCCCTAATCAGACCAAGCACTGGAAGGGACTGCCAGCACCCTGGGATATCCATTCACCCAGTAGGGAAGTCTGACAAGAACCAGGATGTATAAATTTCCACTGTTGGGATTACACTAGAATCTTCTGGTCACATGGACTTATGCCTAAACTTCAAATACATTAATTACAAATATATGGTTACACTCACTAATGTATCTGTCTCTGAATGACCACAGAAATTTTTTTTTAACAACTGATTTCCAGAGTTCTATTCCTTAGTTTTGGTTTTATATACCACATGATGATAGAGTTTCTTACTGTAAGGGATATGTTCTTATAAATTTTTAAAATTATAGTTTACTGTTACTACAAAGTAACAGTATTTTACTATAAAACTGATGCTTAATAAGAAATCTGAGTAAAATTTTGAAAAGTCCCTGAAAATCTTGCCACTTTATATGGGGTAAATAGCCCTTCACATGACTGGATGCATTATTAACACATTCAGAGAGACACATATGTTTAAGGTATTTGATGTCCCCAAACTACCTTAAACTGTTACTTCTTCTATCTTAAGTCTTAGCCATCATTTTAATGAATCTGTTATTGCATAAGTTTATCAAAATATATTTATATAAATTCCTACTGATGAACATTTCCACTTTTACAAAATTAACAGCATTGATGAGCTACTGATCTTTTTCTCCTATTTGAATCTCCTAATCATAAGTTCTTATTCTACCATCTCCTGATGAAAGAGATTCCACATTCTGTATTTTGATATATACTGACCAACTTCAAAAAGCAATTATTTCGGGTACCTGGGTGGCTCATCCAGTTAATCGTCCAACTCTTTTTTTTTTAATCATCCAACTCTCGATTTCAGCTCAGATCATGATCTCAGGGTTGTGAGATCAAGCTCGGTGTCAGGCTCCACGCTGAGTGTGGAGCCTGCTAGGGAATCTCTCTCTAAAGAAAAAAACAAAAAACAAAACTAAAAAGCCATTATTCAATCCACTGCTAGGAAAAGGTGTGAAAGTCAGTCATGCCCCACTAACCAACATGTTTGATAAAATTACCACATTCCAACAAATAATTTTTTCTTCTTTCTACTCCTGGGGAGAGGAAGGAGTAATAGGGTAGAGAACTTGACAAAAGTAATCTACTTCAAATAGCCTCTCTACCCAAGTTTTTGGCTGTTTTTTTTTTTTCCTAAAGTTTTATTCATTTACTTGTCAGAGAGAGAACACAAGCAGGCTCTGCACTAAGCAAGAAGCCTGATGTGGGACTCAATCCCAGGACCCCCGGATCATGACCCGAAAGCAGATGCTTAACTGACTGAGCCATCAAAGTGTCCCTACCTAAGAAGTTTCTATGAAAGTCATGCTAAAACCCTTATTTAGAAGGCAATCACATCAAGTCTGGATGGAAATGTGGAGAATAAGAAACCAATGATCAATTCAACATTTACTAAGAAATGTTTGTCATTAGTATAAGTTTGACACGTAAACCCCTGCCTTGACATTCTTGAGAATAGAAATAAACAGTGTAATGGCTTATTGTAGGATTAGCAATCAATTTTCAGTCTATGCTGTCACAAAAGATAACTATCCACTGATTTTATGCAGTATAAATTCAAAGTCCAAGATGATAAGACCCAACTTGATAAGAGGCTGGGAAAGACAGGAGCTCATCACAAGGCAAAGCCAAATTACTAGGACGGATTGCAGTACTGAGTAGTTTTCTTGCATTTCAACTCTGTCTCCCTGAATTAATTTTATGAAGGCCACATTTAGGTTACCTGTTCTGAATACAAATTTTTATGAAATTCTGGAGGTGATCTCAACACAATTTTCAAATATACATTTCCTCCATTTATTAATTTAACAAATATTGAGCACCTCCCAAGTACCTGGCAATGTTAAGACTATGTAGAACCAGAACAAGTCTCTGCATTTATGGAGCTTACATTCTAATGGGCATTAATTTTAGTGTGTCCATCATACTTTTATACAAGGCCTGATAAAACTCATCCTTTCCAAAGCCTCTCCCCTGAGTAGTATTTAATAAAGGTCAAAGTTCAAACTGTACCTTACTATGCCACTTACAAGTGTTCTCTGCTGTGTGGCCTCCTGACTACTGGGATATGTTAAGCTGTGGCTCAAACATTGACTTTCGTGAAATAAATGATTTTTTCTTTTCAACTTCAGGATTGGAAGAATTCACATGACACTTGGGTTTTCTTTTAAAAAATCATTTTATACAACTATTTTCCTGGGTGGACTCTCTGATGTTCTTCCCACTCCTATTACTTTTATAGGATTTATCACCAGCATGGATTCTGTGATGAATGGTAAGATTTGATCGCCAGCTGAAGCTCTTACCACACGTCTCACACTTGTAAGGTTTCTCCCCTGTGTGAACTCTCTGATGAGACTGTAGCTGTGAAGAGCGACTGAAGACCTTACCACACACATCACATTTGTAAGGTTTCTCTCCAGTGTGGACGCTCTGATGAAGCTGAAGACTTGAGGCCTGACTGAAGTGCTTACCACACTCCCCACACTTGTAGGGTTTCTCTCCTGTGTGGACCCTCTGATGCATGTCAAGATTCAAGCTCCATTTGAAGCCCTTCCCACATTCCTCACATTTGTATGGCTTTTCTCCCGTGTGGACTTTCTGATGGGCTTGAAGGTGTGAACTGCGACCAAAACTCTTCCCACACTCCTCACATTTGAATGGTTTCTCTCCACTATGGACTCTCTGATGCGCCAGAAGATTTGAGGCCTGCCTGAATACTTTCCCACACTCCTCACAATTATATGGTTTCTCTCCTGTGTGGATTCTGCAATGAATTTTGAGATCTGCTCTACGACTGAATCCCTTCCCACACTCTTCACATTTGTACGGTTTCTCACCAGTATGGATCAGCTGGTGAATCTGAAGTCGGGAACTCTGATTGAAGCCCTGCCCGCACTCCTCACACTTGTAAGGTTTCTCTACGCTGTGTGCCTTCAGATGGATTTGAAGATATGAACTCTGACTGAAGCCCTTTCCACATACCTCACATTTATAGGGTTTCTCCCCTGTGTGGACTACCAGATGAACTTGATAATGGGAGTTCCTCCTGAAGCTCTTCCCACACTCATCGCATTTGTATGGCTTCTCTCCTGTGTGGACTCTCTGATGTGCTTGAAGATTTGAACTCAGAGTAAAGCCTTTACCACACACATTACATATGTAGGATTTCTCTCCAGTGTGAACACCCTGATGGGCCTGAAGACTTGAAGGCCGACTAAAGCCTTTACCACATTCCTCACATTTGTAGGGTTTTTCTCCTGTGTGGACCCTCTGATGAATGTATAGATTTGAGCTACAAATGAAGCCCTTCCCACACTCCTCACATTTGTATGGTTTCTCTCCCGTGTGGACTCTCTGATGGGATTGAAGATGTGAATTCCGACTGAAGCTTTTACCACATGCATCACATCTGAATGGTTTCTCCCCGGTGTGGACTCTCTGATGGTCCTGGAGATGAGAGGCCTGACTGAAGGCCCTCCCACATTCCTCACAATGATAAGGTTTCTCTCCTGTGTGGACTTTGCAATGAACAGTAAGTGCTGATCTACGACCAAAGCCTTTCCCACACTCCTCGCATTTAAATGGCTTCTCTACAGTGTGGACTTTCTGATGGGTTTGCAGAAGTGAGCTCTGACTGAATTCCTTACCACACTCACCACACTTATAGCCTTTCTCTCCCACGTGAACTCTCTGATGAATACGAAGAACTGAGCTATAACGGAAGCCTTTTCCACATTCACTACATGTATGCGACTTTGCTTTTGAGTGTAATTGCTGATGAAGATCAAAGGTAGAGAGATCACTGAAGGATTTTTCACATTCATTACATTGGTAAGGTTTTTGTCCTGTGTGAGTCATACTATCCTGGTCCAATGTTGAAATCTTCATGCTGTCTTTCTCACAATCATCGTCACTGTAAGATTGGTCACTTCTGTGTATTCCATGATCTAGGTGATGTGAAATCCAACTGATGACATCAACATCCTGTTTACACTGACACAGCTTATTGTTCATGGAAATTTGTTGGTTTCTATTCAGATAACTCTGTGACTCAGTCAAAGAAGTTTTCCTCCATGAGTCCTGGGCTCCCAAAATTGGAAAGTCTGAGTTTTCAGTACCATTAGGACCATCCACTTTACAATTCAGTATACAGTTCTCATCTTCAGAAATTTGAATAGAGAATCCTGCCCCAAGCTGGCAGGGGGAATCACCTTGTTTGTGAAGCTGAGAACTATTTATCATGGAGTTTTGACATCTGGATAGGTCATTTGCAATGTGTTGCCAGATTTGCCAGCAGGAAAGCTCTTCATGTGGTCCTCTGTCTTGAACGGTCCTCAGCTCACTTTGATTGCTCCCTCCTATAGGGACAGAATTCAGAGATGTGGACAAGTGAAAACTTCATTCAAAGAGTCAAGATTTCACACTTAGGATACAGTATGATACTTTAATGAACCTCAGGATGGTTCAGCTTATCTTTTTCACCATATATGAAATACTCTGGCTTATATAGTGATGGAAACCAACCACTTAGCATTAATGAAATCCAACAAAAACAAAATTACTGCCACCTGACATACGATTTAAGTCATTTTTCAAAAATTACATGTCTTTCCCACCATAGTACAGTATCAATAAGGACAAGCATTTTGCAGTGTTGACAGCTTTTAACAGTACCTAGCAGTTAGTAGGTGTTTAAGAAATGCATGCATAGATGGATCCCAATGTGATGTCTGAGATTATCCAGAATTCTAAATCCCAGTTTAAGTGTGAACTAGTCAGAGTAGAAAAGAGCTCTTATAAGTAAGGTATGTGAAATGGGACAAGAATGGGAAAATACAGTTTGCTAAGAAGTTGAAAGGCTACACCAGAGACAGCAGTATACCAAGGGGGTACTGAGGAGAAAATCAAGGGTGCCAAAGAAAGAAAAGCATGAAGATCTATACACTAGATCCTTCTGAGGCTTCTGTACTGTCTCTCTAAATGTCTTCCCCCCACGCCCTGCCCCCGCCTCAAAAGGAATCAAAAATTTTTTTTAAGATTTTATTTATTCGTTTGAGACACACAGATACAGAGAGAGCATGAGCAGGGGGGAGAGGCAGAGGGAGAGGGAGAAGCAGACTCCCCGCTAAGCCAGGAGCCCAATGTGGGGATCGATCCTGAGCCCAAGGCAGATGCTTAACCATCTGAGCCACCCAGGCACCCCAAAAGGAGTCAAATTTAGAGGCCAGGGAAGAATGCTGTCTCTTTGAAAATAGTGTGGAAAATTTTTGGATATAGATACATTGGCTTTCAACAAGAATGACTGTTTCTAAGTGCAGAATGCAGTTTATTGGTGAGCTGGGAAATAAATTCCATCACTTATGATATTTAGAAGAAACAGACTAGAAACTATTAGGGAATCATCACAGGCAGTAAAGCTGTCATCGTATGAAATGCCTTCGAAAGTCGTATATTTACATCTATACACCAACACTACGTCTGAGGTAACGACGTAAGATCCATTTATGATTCCATATGTGCATTTCGGAAGAAGCAAATGGGATGCAGCTGGGCAAATCTTTTAAGGGAAAGGCTAACTCACAAGCTGGCTATTTTCTGAGACCTTCCATTCCCTGATATAAGAGATATGGAAGTTGAATTCTTTCCCTCCTCTGGGGGAGCTGCCTAAGAAGTGGACCAAAGAATCCTCTATCAAAAAACAATCTCCTCCCCAAATGAATATGCTCTGCTACTAAAGGAAAGTCACAGGGAAAGAATGGTGTTCGATTTGGTTATAACAACAGTGCTACGTGTTCTGTACAGGTCTCTGTACGGGCTGGTGCGGGTCAGCTTGTACAGAAAGGCAAACACACACACATATACCATAGGCAGCTGAGAAATTAGAATCAGGTTAAGAATTCATTTAAAGACAAAAAATATTTTGCAATATCCCTTCTTCACATGGATCTGTTCGCCTCTTAGCTATTTCCGTGGAGGGCAGGCTTTCCTATACAGTAACTCATTCATTTATTCCACGAAGATTTACAGAGCCCCTGCCGTGTACCAGGACTATTCTAAGCACTGAGGATAGTGAACAATCAACAACACCAACAAAAGTCCTCCACTCTTGAAGATTACACTCCAGTGAGGAGGCAAAGATAAAATAAACAAATGAATAAAAATATGTGAGGCGATGATCACCCAAAATAAAGCAGCGCAGAGAGAGTCAAGAGAGAATGGCATTTTCAACAGGGTGGTCAGAGTCCTCACATGAGATTAGAACTGAGTGACCTGAAAGAAGGAAAGAAGGGGCCTGCAGGGTTATAGGTGAGAGACTATTCCAGGCAGAGAGGAACAAGTGAAGGGTTCTGAGGCAGAAGCTTCCTTCGCAGGTCTGAGAAATGGCAGGGAAGACACTGTAGGCAGAAAAAATGGAGCAAGAAGAAGGACAGGTGTATTTAGACAGGCCGTGGGAGCAGACCACAGAGGACTCTCTAGAAGCTACTTTAAGTGGTTTTTACTCTAAAGGAGCCATAAGAGAATTTTGAACAGAAGACTAACATAATCGGACTTAAAGTTATAAAGGATCCCTCAGGCTGCTACTTAAAGCACAGACCGCAGAAGGGCAGGAGCAGGCACCCCTGCGAAGACTGTTGCAATAATCCAGGAAAGGGGTTTGGCACTTGGGACGAAGGTGACAGCACACAGGTGGCGAGAAACAAAACAGATGGACAGGTAACTGCAACAACGCACAATTGCTTCGTTCTTACCTACATTTCTCTCTATCGGGGATGCTGTCTTCATCAACCAAGGCCTCTCTTCTCTTTCTATGTGCCATTTATCTCGTTTAAAGGGCTGATGTCCTGAGAACATGCAAAATCATGAGTTAAAATGAATGCGATGGAGCCACCCAGGCGCCCCTCCGTGTAGATTTAATTATATGGATGGATTAGTAATAAAAGCAACCCTGTGACTTTTGGACAGTAGATTTATCAGTCTATAAAGTGAAGCCGACTTCAAAAAATATATCCTCAAGATTTGTACTTATGTTAAAACAAGGGCCTTCAGGGCGCCTGGGTGGCTCAGTTGTTAAGCATCCACCTTCAGCTCGGGTCGTGATCCCAGGGTCCTGGGATCGAGCCCAGTGTCGGACTCCCTGCTCCACAGGGAGCCTGCTTCTCCCTCTCCCGCTCCCCCTGTGTTCCCTCTCTCACTGTCTCTGTCAAATAAATAAATAAAATCTTAAAAAAAAAGGGCCTTACCAAGTATATAAATCTGTTTTTGATTATAACTATTAAAATTGCAAGTAGGTATGTTAAAAAATAAATAAATAAAATGAACATGCTAGAGCTAAAATTTACTGGAAATTTGAGTTCCAACTGCATATTCAAGATATTGAAAGTGTGTTTTTCAAATCTTTTTTAAATCATGACCCACTGGAGAAATAGCACTTATTTCATGACCCAACTACATACATAGAGATATGTATTATCCAAAGAAAGTTTGAATGACCTATTCCTAACCCATGTCTGTTTTCACTGAATCTCCCAGTGGCCCTCACACACTCATGCAATCAACCAGTTTTCTGCTGCAATGTGTCCCAAGAAGTTCTGATATTCTCTCCCCTATTGATTTCATTCAAAACTGCTCATAGAATTCAATAAATCAGTTTTAGAATTCACTAATGTGATAGGAGTGAAATCTGAAATCAAATCGACAAGGTATAGCAGTATACTGTCCATTTATAGTCCTTTACAAAAACCCAAATGAAAAAGACCTGAAAGATCCTGTTCAGAAAGATCAGAAACATCCTGTGTCCCACAAGAATTAGCAAAGTCCAATCCCCAAATTCAGGGAACCATTTCAAGAGCCCCAAAGTCTTAAAACCCCAAAGTGACAAAGATCCTCCAGAGGGAGGCTGTTCTCACCCACTGAGACCAGGTTCCTGAAGTTTTCTAACATGACATCCTGGTACAGCTTCCTCTGGGCAGAGTCCAGCAGTCCCAGTTCCTCCTCTGTGAAGGCCACCGCCACGTCCTTGAACGTCACTGCCTCCTACAACAAACACATACAAGCTCAATCTTATACCCAAGGGCCACTGCGAGAGGTGGGAGGATGGGTGGGGACAGCTGGGGATGAAGGGTGGGGAGGTGCTCTGGCCCCTGCGCAATCTGTAGATTTCCCAGCCCTTCTCCTTCTCTCCTGCTGATGCCACACACCGATTTTCCTCAGCCTCATCAAAAGCGCTGCTATGGAAAAGAAAGCTCTATTTACCTGGCCCTCTCAGTGAGCACTGTAATAAGCAAACTCCCTAGAATTCTAACAGCTGCATCCTAAACTAAAAAGGTTTTACTTTTTAACTAACATTGCCAATTACCCCAGAAACATTGAACAGTTTAGCCCCAGCAGTGTTTGATAGCACCTGCCTTCCCACTGAAGTGGGAACCAGGTCAGGGGTAGCGTTCTTTGTGGAAATAAACCAAAAGGGCATTCCAGGTCACTGAATGAGAAACTCTCTCCTCCTGCATCTGTCTTCACTTGAATACCATACTCTGACCCCAGATCTCTGGTGTTCTGTGTGAATTTAAGCAGATGTCTTTTTCACAACTGCTTGTCTTTGTATTTAAAATGAAGATAGGGGCGCCTGGGTGGCTCAGTTGGTTAAGTGTCTGCCTTCAGCTCAGGTCATGATCTCAGGGTCCTAGGATCGAGCCCCAGGTCAGGCTCCCTGCCCAACAGGGAGTCTGCTTCTCCCTCTTGCTCTGCCCCGCCCCCTCTGCCCCCGCCCGGCTTGAGCGCTCACAGGTTCCTGCTCTCTTTCTCAAATAAATAAAATCTTTTAAAAAAATAAATAAAATGAAGATAAAACCAAGCACCTCTTTATAAAATTGTTCTGAGGTGTCAATGCAGTGAGCGACAAGTCCTTTAGTATCCCTGGATTTTTTAAACTAAGGTTATGTATTACTTTGATTAAAAAAAAATACACTGGGGGCACCTGGGTGGCTCAGTTAAGCATCTGCCTTCAGCTCAGGTCATGACCCCGGGGTCCTGGATTTGAGCCCATGTCGGGCTCCCTGCTTAGTGGGGAGCCTGCTTCTCCCTCTCCCTCTCCCTCTGCCCTCCCCCTGCTCGTGCTCACTCTCTCTCAAATAAGTAAAATTTTTAAGAAATAAATAAATCAATAATAAAAAAATACACTAAGGAAAAAAACAGTAAGTAAAATACACATAGGGTTTGTGACTTAGGCATGGGGGAGACAGAATCTAGCTCTCTAATTAGAAAACTTCTAACAGTATCTTTTCTTGTGAAGCTGAAGCCTGATCCTGACGCACTGTGCCATATTTGAATATCCTACCAAAAAACATCCAATGCACCAGATATAAAACATACCTCTTCAATTTTGAGTACTTGTTAAGGACAAAAAAAAGGCAGGAATTTTCAGGACTGTTTTTTGAGAAATAGGTTAAATCAGGAGAGATTACTTTTAAAAAATAAAAACTTAAAAAAAATTGTTGCATAGTATTAAATGAAAAAAAAGATTCAAGTATATGTTATGGGGTTGGGGGATCGACAAACAGGTGAGAAGGAAAAAAAGTACAAATTTCCAGCTATAAAATAAGTCAGGGGATGAAAAGTACAGCATAGGGAATATAATCAATAACAATACAATAACCGTGCAGTGACAGACTGTAATTACACTTATCATGGTGAGCATTTTGCAATGCATCTAACTGTCAAATCACTATATTATACACCTGAAACTAATATGTCAACTACGCTTCCATTTAAAAAAATAAAACAAAATTTAAAAAGTAAAAAATAAAACAAAATAAAGGTATGAAATACTTTTTAAAATTCTTAAAAGAAATAAAGCTGTATCTATGTTATGAATACAAATACACAGCTACAAATACATGTGATGAAGAGATTATGGAAATAAAGCATCTATTTGCAGAGGAAGTAGTAAAGTGCAAGATATTTTTATTTCTATTAAGTTTTCTACCTTTTTTTTTAAAAGATTTTATTTATTTATTTGACAGAGAGAGACACAGGCAAGAGAGGGAACACAAGCAGGGGAGTGGGAAAGGGAGAAGCAGGCTTTCCACTGAGCAGGGAGCCTGATGCGGGGCTTGATCCCAGGACCCTGGGATCATGACCTGAGCCGAAGGCAGACGCTTAACAACTGAGCCACCCAGGCGCCCCAAGTTTTCTTCTTTTACTTGTGAGATTAAAAAAATGATGAAATAAAAGCTAAAACCAAAACCAATTAAACTTAAAAGTCATAAAGAAAAAAGCACCTGACACGCTCAACAAGTCCTCAGATGCACTCTCCTTAAAAGAGAACTTGTGTCCAGTCTCTGAGGACTAAAACGTTAAAGATTTTTTATTTATTTATTTGACAGAGAGAGACAGCGAGAGAGGGAACACAAGCAGGGGGAGTGGGAGAGGGAGAAGCAGGCTTCCCGCCGAGCAGGGAGCCTGACGTGAGGCTCGATCCCAGGACCCTGGCATCATGACCTGAGCTGAAGGCAGACGCTTAACGACTGAGCCACCCGGGTGCCCTAAAATGACATTTTTTTAAAAGATTTTATTTATTTATTTGAGAGAGAGAGAGAGAGAGAACGAGCAGGGAGCCCAATGTGGGGCTTGATCCCAGGACCCAGAGATCACAACCAGAGCTGAAGGCAGATGCTTAACCAACTTTAGCTCCCCTAAAATGACATTTTTAACAGTAAGAAAGACAAACTCTACTCACCTTGAACATGTTCATATTCTTTCCTTCTGGGGAAACAGAATCCTAGAAAGATAGACTGGGAAAGGAGAAAAAAGTCAATGGAAACTCGTCAAGTATGTCATTAACCTATGGGACGGTGCAGGTGAACATGGTTTGATGAGCAGAACGCGGCATGCATACCAGATACACCCCGACCCCTTTCGGTAGGAGTTCAAGGAACAACCTGCCCAACCACATGAATGACCTCATCCCAGTGTGCCTGTAGCTTCTGCAGTAGTAATTCTTATTCTGGGCAGGGTATAAATTGAGACAATAGCAATAAGAGAAGGCTTTGGAGTCAATATGCATGGGCTGAAGTCCTGGCTAGGCTATTCAGTAGTAGTGTCATCTTGGGAAGATGATTAACATCTCTTTGCCTCAGTTCTGTCATCTGCAAGTGAGGGAGAACAATGGTATCAACCTCATGGGATTGCTGTAAGGTAGGAAGCTATCAGAGCACTCTCAGTTTCCTATTTGTTTCCGACTGCAGAATGATATTCTATAGTTTGAAATTATCCCTATAAATGTGATTTCTACCAAGAGAACATTGTTAAAATACGTGGAGTTCACAGGTTGTTGCTCTATCACGTCATGAGTCAGGGACTGCTCAAAATCTCTGGCTGTCTTCCTGATAATTTGTTACCTCAACAATAATATCTAAATTGACATGGCCAACTTTTTATAAAAAGGTATAAAAATAAATGAAGTTTCTTTCTAAGCAGGAAGTGCACTTTTAACAGGTAGGCACTGAGGTAAAGAAAACTAATCAAACCCAAGATTTTGCAACAACAAAAAAATAAGTTGACAGTCCATACCTAAGTTAAATAAAAAAGACAAGCATCTGAGTTGTAAACGTATTGTTATAAATAAAGGAATGTACAAGAAATAAACAGGTGAGAAGAGAAAGTTCCCCCTACAGCAGAAGGCAAACCAAAAAATGTAGAATGAAAGATAGTTAGATAATCATCAATGGATGCTAAAAAAATGGTGAAAGTTTGGGAAGAAATAAGATAGTCACGTGGTCTCAAAATATTAACTGGAAGATACCTTACTGAAGAAAACAAAGTTGAAACCAGCAATTGGGACAAACCCACAAATGGACACGTACTTCCCATGATGCACTGAGAAGGTGCGTTACCACTTACTTCTGTAGCATCCCTGCTGCTAATGCAGAGCCTGAACCTAATCATAAACATCACATAAATCAAAAAAAGAGGGACATTCTGCAAAATAATTTGCCAATATTCCTCATGAATATCATGAACTAAATAAATAAAGTCAGAGGATTCATTCTATTTTTTTGTTTTGTTTTAAGTAATCTTTATATCCAGTGGGAGCTCAAACTCACAACCCTGGAGATCAAGAGTCACATGCTCTACCACTGGATCAGCCAAGTGCTCCGGAATCATTCCAGATTAAAGGAGATTAATGAAATAAAAACTAAGTTCAATGCATATCACAGGACTGAACCCTGAACTAGAAAAAGAAAACTGCTCTCAGAGACTTTATTGGGGAAACTGGAAAAACTGAATATGGGCTGTGGATTAGATAGTAATTTGTTATCAATGTAATTAATTCCATTTTGCTCAGTTTCTAGCTTGCCCTCAAATGGTTCAGCAAAGAAAAACAAAAACAAAAACAAAATACAAGTATGATAAAGCTGTGAAAGAGACCCCAAAAATGGCATTGGAAGCTAGCAGGACCAACAGCTAGAACTTGGTGTTTCCCACTAATCAGCGAGAATCTCACAGGGCCACTCAGTCTCAGTGATCGTGATGAACAAGAAAAGGTCAAGAGACTCCGTAACACAGAGACAAAGACATTCTACAATGACAGGAAAAAAAAAAAACAACCCAAGAACTGCCCCAATGAGTGACTGACTACTTTATTAATAGTGACAACTGAAGTCTCATTGTGTTTCTCCCATCTACTAGCTAAAAATAATTACAACATCCAGTCATCAACTTGCTTCTGCTTTTGAACAGCATGCGACAGAACAAATCCTCACTGCTTAAAATTCCCCAACTCAGCTAACACAAGCCAAAACCCTGTAAGCAGCCCCACCTAATAGCCTTTTACCAAGACACCTGGGTGTGTGGGCTGCTTTGCTTCAGCAAGCTAAAACAAACTTAACTCTTTGACTACAGGTATGTTCCTGGGAGGTTTTGGCTGACGGTCACTAACAGAGCAAACAGGCCAAACATAAGTAATTTGATGGGCACCAGGGTGGCTCAGTTGGTTAAACGTCTGACTCCTTTTTTTTTTTAAAGATTTATTTGAGAAAGAGAGAGAGGGTGTGCACACAGGTGTGTGGGCAGGGAAAGAGGGAGTCCTCACTCCCCACTGAGTGTGGAGCCCAATGTAGGGCTTGATCCCAGGACCCTGAGATCCCCTGAGGGGAAAAAAATATATCCAGCTCAGTTTTTTTGTTTTTTTTTTTAAGATTTTATTTATTTTTTGACAGAGAGAGAGACAGTGAGAGAGGGAACACAAGCAGGGGGAGTGGGAGAGGGAGAAGCAGGCTTCCTGCGGAGCAGGGAGCCCGATGAGGGGCTCGATCCCAGGACCCTGGGATCACAACCTGAGCCGAAGGCTGACGCTTAACGACTGAGCCACCCAGGCGCCCCTCCAGCTCAGTTTTATCTGTTACATCCAGCAAAGTCAATCTTTTAGGTCTCAGTTTCCAGACAAGAACCTTTCCTGAGCTTCTCGAATTTTCACATGCACAGGAATCTCCCCAGGATCTTGCTGGAATGCAGATTCCTGGGCCCCACAGGCAGAAAGTCTGAATCAGAATGTCTCCGAAGGGGCTCAAGGATGAGCATTTCTACCCAAGTGATGCCAATGCCACTGGTTTGTAGACCACAATTTAAGTGGCACTGCAGCGTACCACCAGGCCCAAAGAAAGCAGCCTCCACTAAACAGAAATATACACAAAGAGAAACCAGACAAAAAGGCTAAAATGTTATCGTTACATTCCAAGGTTATACGTAAAGTTTTTATTTATATATTTCTGTATTTTCCATAGTGATTAGGCTACTTCTGTGACATAAATATTATTTGAAATAAATGACACAGATCAGAAAGCTACCTTAAAGTAGGAAAGATAGGGGAGCCTGGGTGGCTCAGTGGGTTAAGCATCAGACTCTTGGTTTCCACTTGGGTCATGATCTCTGGGCCATAGGATCCAGCCCCATGAAGGGCTTGGCAGTGGGGAGTCTGCTTGAGATTCTCTTTCTCTCCGTCTCTCTCTGCTTCTGCCCCTTCCCAGCTCGTGCTTTCTCTCTCTAAATAAAATGAATCTTTTAAAAACAATAAAGTAGGAAAAACAGCAGTACCACTTAACACAGCCACTGTGTGACGGAAATGGGTTCATTTGCGTAAAGCTTCTAGAATCGAACTTAGCAACTAAGGCTCAGCTATAATCATTACTCAAGTGCGTGTCCCACACATTCTCCAATTTACGTGACTATCGCAGTAGAAGAATGCCAAGTCCTACTCACGCGGAGCTCCGATGCCTCCTCCCCCGCGCAGTGCTTTTTGAGAAGTCAGGGCTGGGGAAGGAAAGGAGGTTGTGAAATACCAGGTTTGTGTTTCCGTTCCCGATAAATTACACTCCTCAGTACCAGCTAGAAGCAACTCTCCTTCCAAAAAAAGGTCAGGAGTCCAGGACAATTCAGCTGCCTGGGCTCACAGAACCTCACTGAGAAATGGGCGCTTCTCGGATAATTACAGCAGTATTAGTAACAAGAAGTCTCCTGCCAGGCAGTAATAAACGTTTTACCTGTACTACCTCGTTTCTTTCCTCACAACACTGTATTCCTCACAACACTGTAATAGGAAGGTATTACTTTTATTTCCCTTTTACACAACAGCAAACCAAGACACAGAGGGATTAAGCAGCCTACCCAGTAACCCACCTATATGAAGACGGCTAGTTCCCAGGTGGGGAGCCAGGACAGGGGTGCAGAAAGCCCGGGAGACCCTTAAACCCGGAGAAGCACAACCAGAGCCCGCCCCATCCAGGGCAGGTCCCCAACGCGCAAAGAAGTTCCGCCCAGGAGAACGCAAATCCCTACCCCGGGCTATCAAACCTCCGTTTTTAGCCGCTCTTCCTCTTTCTCCCCAAATGAAATGCTGGTAGCTGCGGGACCAAGGTGCGTTTTCGGGAGAAGTTTGAATGGGTCGTGGACAGCCGACATGAAACACTGTAATCAGGGAAAAGATGGCTGCTACGGCGTCCTCCTGGGGCGGAAGTGCCTGCGACCAACCAGCACTCCTGGACTACACTTCCCAGAACTCCCGAGAACCACCTTCTTCAATGGAAGTACCTGCGACTACACGGAGCTCCTGGACTACACTTCCCAGAACTCCGCAGCACCACCGTCTTGAATGGAGGTACCTGCGACTACACGGAGCTCCTGGACTACACTTCCCAGAATCCCGCGGCGGGGGGGGTTGGAGGACGTTTACAGACCCGCCTCACCGTAGCTGCGGGATGTGACTACTAGGAGCTCTGGACCACAACAGGTTCCTCACTGCCTGGGGCGGGAGATAGGCAGCAGCACCGCCCTCCCTCCTCCCTATTACCCTTCACCGACTCAGGGACCGGAAAACAGACAAAGCTGCTCCCCTTATGCGGCAATGCCTGACTACTCTAAGATCCTGGTTTTCACTTCCTGGAATCCCTAAGAAGGTCTGGGCAGAGGTCTTGCTATTCTAGCACGTCGGCCGTAGAAGAGTGTAGATTCTGTTCATCGAAAGGCTGAGAAGCTGAGTACCACTTTAGATAAGCTCGAGGGGCTAAAACAACGTAAATCCGTTGCTTACCACAGAGGCGTCCTGGTAAACCCCAAAGAGCTTCACCGTAGGAATAAGAGCAAAAGGAAACTGGGCCTTCTTTGGCAGGAATTAAAGCAAATGTTAAAATTACCTCAATCCCTGAAATTACGTGAAAATGAATTGCTGGCCTCTTCCAACCCTTGCAGGAGCAAGTGAAAATCCTTTGTAAAGGAAGATGTCAGTCATCATCCTGGGCCTCAAATTATTTCTATAATTGTAGAATTTGTGATGTCAATATTACGCCAAGAGAACTTCGTTGGGGGGTGGAGCATTACTTGGCATAAAGAGGGTCATTTGATAATGATAAAATTTCAAAGTACCAGAAAGTAAAAACTTCAGTTCATACCTTATAAAGCGAAAATTGACAGAACTACAAAGAGAAAGATTCAAACTCAGTTGTAACTGGAGGGTTTTTATTTATTTATTTATTTATTTATTTATTTATTTATTTATTTATTTTTTAAAGATTTTATTTATTTATTTGACAGAGAGACACAGTGAGAGCAGGAACACAAGCAGGGGGAGTGGGAGAGGGAGAAGCAGGCTTCCCGCGGAGCAGGGAGCCCGACGCGGGACTGGATCCCAGGACCCTGGGATCATGACCTGAGCCGAAGGCAGACGCTTAACGACTGAGCCACCCAGGCGCCCTGGAGGGTTTTTTTTAAAAAAAAGATTTTATTTATTTTAGAGAGAACGTGCCTGAGCGGGGGAAGGGCGGAGGGAGAGGGCGAGAATCGCAAGCAGCCGCAGGGCTCCATCTCATCACCCTGAGATCATGACCTGAGCCCAAATCAAGAGTCAGACACTTAACCAACTGAGCCACCCAGGTGCCCCAGAACTAGAGATTTTAACACATACATAGAAGGAAATGTTGAGCCTTAAATGCATGTATTAAAATAGAAGAGAAGCTGAAAATCCATCCTGAAAACATCAATCTCAGAAGGTGAATAAACAAATGGCAAAACTAAAGAAAGCAGGTAGAAGAAAATAAGAGCAGGTTGATGAAATACAAACAAAATTAAGTGGATCTTCCCCTCCCATAAAAGGCCAAAAGATCACCCTGTGGATAAAGCAATAAAATTGATGAAAGTATGGTGAGAATGACTAAGAAAAAAAACCATATATGAAAAATATTATCAGAAATAAAAAAGAGAACATCACTAAATATTATGATGATACTGTGAACAACTTTATAAAAATGTATTTGTGAATTTAAATGAAATCAATATATTTCTAGAAAAACAAAAATATAAACTTACATAATAAAATTAATACTTGATGAAATGATGGAAATTTCACTTTTGAAATTGGGAATGAGAACACAATGCTGATTATAACTACTTAAAGTTGTACTGGATCTTGTATCCAGCAAACTTGCCAAACTCATCTATAAATTTCCATGTTAATGCCACATTTATCTGGACTTTCTATACACCTAGTAATGTTAATTGTAAGTAACAACAATTTTATTTTTTCTTTTCCAATTTGTACACCTTCTCTTTATTTTTCATTCTTTCTTTAACCGGCCAATATCACTTTATTTCCTCTAATATATTCTCAATTTTTGTCTTGAATATTTTAAAGCAAATCCCAGAGATGTACTTGCACAAGTAAAAACATTAGTATCTATCTCTTACTAATAAGAACATTTTTTTTTAATTAGTCTCCACCCCCAACGGGTCTTGAACTCATGTTCCACTACCTGAACCAGCCAGGTGCCCCTGATAACATTTTTAAAGCCTAAATATATTGTACAATTATACATTTAAGAAAAGTAAAAATATTTGTTTAATAACAATTTATGCCCAAATCCTGATTAAAAAATTTTTCAATTGTGTTAAATGTGTCTACTTAGATTAATTTTATTGAATCCAGATATAAAAAAAGACCCATACATTTTATTTATTGGTTATCACTATTAAATAGTTCTAAAATAATACGTGTTTTTTTTTTTTTTTTTAGTATAAGACTGAATTCACGGAAAATCACATTATTTTCCCTACACTTGGACTACTTTGGATTTGGCTAATTGCCCCAGCAACATTGAAACCTATAACTCAATGGAACAATAATTAAAGGATTCTTTTGTCTTTTTTATGTTTTTGTGTTCCAAATTCTTCTGGAATATCATCCTCCAAGAGCCATCCCTGGCTTAATACAACATGGCACACAGACCAGACACAGAAGTTCTTCCCACTACAAGTAAACTGAAATCTTGAATGTAGTATGATAAAATATGACAACATAATTTAACATTTTATTTATTCATTCACCTTTTCCCCATGATATCCTCCATTCCCTTCTCTACCCCACAAGCAATCATTCTAATTTGTTTAGCATGTTACCTTTTGGGTGTGTTTTTGCGCAAAATGTGTGCAGTCTGTGCGCATGTGTTGTTTTTTTTTTTAAGATTTATTGATTTATTTGACAGAGAGAAATTGCATATGTGTTTTCAATTTACATAAATGATACTGTGTCATAAAATTCATCCTGGTGTTTTTCTCCATTCAGGTGTATGCTTTTAAGATTTATCCACCCATCTGATTTATTTTAGAGGACTCCATTTTCTGCACCCATAACATCTTTTTTTAAGTTTTTATTTAAATTCCAGTTAGTAAACATACAGTGTAATATTAGTTTCAGGTGTAAAGTTTAGTGATTTAGCACATCAGCACTTCAGTCCCGCATCGGGCTCCCTGCTCGGCAAGGAGTCTGCTTCTCCCTCTGCACTCCCCCCACCACACACACAGCTCATGTGCACACTCTCTCTCAAAAAAAAATAAAATCATTTTTTAAAAAACCACAAATATTTTATTAGGGCTAATATCTATGAGAGAAAATGAAAGGGAACTTGGGAAGGGGGCTGTCAGAACCATCAGATCATGGTACAAGTGTGACCCTGAGTGAAGGAATTTTGGAAGAAAGATTTGGTGATCGGGCGCCTGGGTGGCTCAGATGGTTAAGCGTCTGCCTTCGGCTCACGTCATGATCCCAGCGTCCTGGGATCGAGTCCCGCATCGGGCTCCCTGCTCCTTGGGAGCCTGCTTCTCCCTCTGCCCCTCTCTCTCTCTCTCTCATGAATAAATAAATAAAATCTTAAAAAAAAAAAAAGATTTGGTGATCATACTAGACTGCCTTGTAATTTTTTTTTGTTTGCACATTCATAGTTTTCATTAGTTTCAGGGGTAGAATTTAATGATTCGTCAGTTGCATATAACACCCAGTGCTCATTACATCAAGTGCCCTCCTTAATGCCCATCATCCAGTTACCCCATCACCCCACCCAACCCCCCTCCAGCAACACTCAGTTTGTTCCCTAGAATTAAGAGTCTCTTATGGTTTGTCTCCCTCTCTGATTTCATCTCATTTTATTTTTCTTTCCCTTCCCCTATGTTCATCTGTTTTGTTTTTTAAATTCCACATGAGTGAAATCATATGGTATTTGTCTTTCTCTGACTTATTTCACTTAGCATAATACCCTCTAGTTCCATCCACGTGGTTGTAAATGGCAAGATTTCATTCTTTTTGATGGCTGAGTAATATTCCACACACACACACACGTGTGTGTGTGTGTGTGTGTATATATACCACCTCTTCTTTATTCATTCATCTGTCAACAGCTCTTTCCATAGTTTGGTTATTGTGGACGTTGCTGCTATAAACATTGGGAGACTGCCTTGTAACCTAAGTAAAGTTCTTCAAAGCTGTCAGGGAGTCCCTGAAAAAAAGTCATTGGATAGCCAGGAGTCCCAGCCTCCAAGAATGGCCCATCTTAGGATTTTTATTGTGTTGACTGGGAGCAATCATGGTAAGACACCTCCATGCAAATGTGGTGGTGGATTTTAGCACACAGCAGTGGGAGCCTTTAATCAATTATGCTCCCTGCAGTCAGGTAATTGTGAAGCAGGAAACTGTCTTGTCAATTTGGGTTTATCTGATATTCCCTCATGATTAGATTTGATTGTGTATTTTTTTTTGGGCAGTAATAATAGTGAAGCAACATCACATCAGGGGACTTAAAATGTTGGTTTGTTCTATTATCAATGATATGAACATCTTGGCTAAGAGATTATTCACCAGATTTCTCCATGATATACTTACTATATTTCCTTTTATAATTAATAATACTTTATGGAGAGAAATTTTCAGCTGTGTAGTATCCATCCTGTTTCTCAGTAACTTATTCCTTAACCAATAAGCCATACCTGCTGTCTTATGGGTTGAGGATGACAAATCATTTTTTTTCATCTACTGAGTTTTCTGTTACAAATTCCCTGATAACTTATTATGGTATCTTATGACAGCAAAAAGACAAAAACCAAACCAAACCAAAATGAAGGCACTGGTTTCTGACGTCATGTGTGCAGAAAAGTTTAACATAGAGCTGAGAGTGCTACCTGTAAAGAGGCCTGCTTGCTAGCCTGGCTCTTGATCAGTATCTGCATACTTGGATTGCGCCGGAGGATGCCTAACATTCCCTGAGTATCTCACATTGCCTAAACTCTTTGTGCAACGTGGTTTATGTTGAATATCTATTTTCCTTCTGAGAGTCTTTAATTTTGGTACATGCCAGGCAGAGAATGCCTAAGTGACCAGCCCCCAGTAAAAAAATCTAAGGCACCAAGTCTCTGATGCATCTCTCTGGTGACAGTTACACGTTATCACAATTTAGTGCTCAAGGAACTTAGTACATTGTGATTCCATAAAGAGAGAACTCTTGGAAGCTAAAACCTGATTTCCTCCAGACTTCATCCTTTGTACCTTCCCTCTTTTCTCACTTTACTTTTACCCTTTCAGTGTAACAAATCAGTTGTGAGTACTCCTAGTGTCTTGTGAGTATGCATAGAGAATGAAAGAACATGGAAGTAGCCTTAGGAACCCCCAACATACCACACAAATTGATACAACACAAGCCTTAGTGAATACCTACTAATATCCTATGAATATGTGGTCCAGAAAATCAATTGTGGGAACCTGTCTCAACTAGATATAATTTGGTGAGTAAAGCTCTTTAACTAACTACAATGAAAAATCACCATTGTGTCTGACTGGACTAGCATCCAAACCTGCTCTTCATCTTTATTGGTTCCATATCCAGAGGGTCAACTGCTATTATTTTCTTTTCTTTCTTCATGCACACCTTTTCAAAAAGGAATCATTTTTTTTTAATGCCTCCACGATGTATGTATACTCATTTTGCTTCTAGCTCCAGGATTTGCCCTCTCGCTGTTATGGATTTATACTTCAAGCACAGCATGCATTAATTACAAAGATACAATTGTTAAAACTCAACTTCTCTGTATGTAAAACAATCAGAGAAGTTCTTGGCTTTGAAATTGGCTTCCAGAACCCATTCCTTAATTTTGATCTTATATGCCATATGACAATATAGAACACTCATAATGGCTTAACGTCAAGGGATAATTATTTGGTACTTTGATAAATTCTATTACAGTAATTTACTGCTTTGGTAACATTCCATATTCAATGAAAAACTAAAACATAACTTAAATGGAAAAATATCAGGGGTGGAGGAGAGAGGAATTTAAAAATGGGAAAAGACCACAAAATGCTCCTTGCCAAGGAAAAGCACTATGGAAGAGCATCCCTTTATATGTTATCTTATACATGTACACATATACACGTGCACGCACACAGAAACACACAAGGATCTATGGTGGATTATGCTATGAAGGCTACAGTCTGATTTTTCAAAGCCCATACTATGTATTTCTCTCATTACAGATATCTGCCATAATCTTAATGGCCTCAATATAGGAATATACCAAATCTCAAATTCCTACGTATGTGCACTTATCCCATTTATAAAAACTCAGTGACATCATCAATACAGTGCTCATCTTTTTAGTATTTTAATCTCATAATCTTAACTTCCAAATATATGATTCCCAGATCAAAGAATGTACAATCTATATTGACATATACTCCTTTCCCAGAACCATGCTTCAGTGCTGCCAATAGGGAAAAGCATATACATACCAATCTCACCTCAGAAATACATCTGATAAAATTATCAAATTCTCACAAACTTGGGGCATATTCCTTTCATGGGTGTGGGGAATAAAGTATAGACTCTGAGAAGTTTTGATAAAAGAAATACTACAGTAATTAGAAGGCAAACATTTCGAGTTGGGATGGAAATGCAATTAGAAATCACCAATTCAAGGTTGATTAAGAAAATTGTTATTGGTAACTACTGGTGACACTTTCAAAGTGTTATAGTAAATACCTGCCTTAACACTGATAGATAAAAAAGATTAGTTGTGTGAAATGCAGTTAAGTCCTTGCTAAGTTAAAAAAAAAAAAACTTTTTCAGTCTGTACTGTCAGAAAAATTACAAAAGATAGTTCAATGTACACTGTATACAATCCTTGGAAAACCGGACAGGGGCCCAGATAAGAACCCCACTTGAGAACAGAGGCTGTGGGAAGAAAGGAACCAATTGTAGTACAGTAATAACATTAATGTGTGGATTGTAGTATCAGGTGATTTTCTATATTCAACAAATGTCCATTTCCCTGAATTAATTTTATTTTGCAGGTTTCCTCCTCTGGACACAATTTTCCTGTTTATTTAACATACATGTAGTAAGCACACCTACAAGTGCTAGTCAATGTTAAGGTTGTGTAGATTTTTTTTAAACTTTTATTTAAATTCCAGTTAGTGAACATACAGTGTATTAGTTTCAGGTGTACAATATAGTGATTCAACAATCCCATGTATCACCCAGCGCTCATCCCAGGTGCACTCCTTAATCCCCATTACCTGTGTGACCTATCCCCCCAACCACCTCCCCTCTGGTAACCATCAGTTTGTTCTCTATATTTAAGAGTCTGTTTCTTGGTTTGCCTCTCTTTTTCTCCCTTTGTTCATTTGTTTTGTTTCTTAAATTCCACATGAGTGAAATCATATGGTATTTGTCTTTGACTGACTTATTTCACTCAGCATAATAATCTCTGGCTCCACCTATGTTGTTGCAAATGGCAAGATTTTTCTTTTCTATGCCTGAATAATATTCCATTGTATACATACACATCTTTATCCATTCATCAATTGATGGAAACTTGGGCTATTTCCGTGGTTTCACTATTGTAAGTAATGCTGCTATAAACACTAGGGTGCATGTATCCCCTTGTATTAGTATTTTTGTATTCTTTGGGTAAATACCTAGTAGTACAATTGCTAGATCCTAGGGTATTCTATTTTTAACTTTCTGAGGAACCTCCATACTGTTTTCCACAGTAGCTGCACCAGTTTACATTACCATCAACAGTGCAGGAGGGTTCCCCTTTCTCCATATCTTGCCAAAACCTGTTGTTTCTTGTCTTGTTGATTTTAGTCATTCTGACAGGCATGAGGTGCTAACTCATTGTAATTTTGATTGGCATTTCCTCGACAATAAGTGATGTTGAGCATCTTTTCATGTGTTTCTTGGCCACCTGGATTTCCTCTGGGAGAAATACCTATTTATGTCTTGTGCCTATTTTTTAATTGGATTATTCACTTTTTGAGTGTTGAGTTTTATAAGTTCTTTATATATTTTGGACATTACCTCCTTATCGAATATGTCATTGGCAAATACCTTCTCCCATTCAGTAGGCTGCCTTTTAGTTTTGTTTCCTTTGCTATACAGAAGCTTTTTATTTTGATGTAGTCCCAATAATTTATTTTTGCTTTTGTTTCTCTTGCCTCAGAAGACTGATCTAGAAACAAGTTGCTACAGCTGATGTCAGAGAAATTATTGCCTGTGCTTTCTTCAAGGACTTTTACGGTCTCAGGTCTCACACTTAGGTCTTTCATCCATTTTGAATTTATTTTTGTGTATGGTGTAAGAAAGTAGTCCAATTTCATTCTTTTGCATGTGGCTGTCCAGTTTTTCCAACACCATTTGTTGAAAAAAAACCTCTTTTTCCCATTGGATATTCTTTCCTGCTTTGTCGTAGATTAACTGGCCACATAATTATGGGTTCATTTCTGGGTTTTCTATTCTGTTTTATTGACCTATGTGTCTTGTTTTTGTGCCAGTACCATACAATTGTGTTTACTACAGTTTTGTAATATAACTTGAAGTCTAGAATTATGATGCCTCCAGCTTTGAGGGCTGTATAGATTTAGCAGCAAAGTCCCAGCCCTCATGGAGCTTACATTCTAGTGGGTATCAATTCTAGTATACCCATCATTATACTTGTGTTAAAGGCCAGACCAAACTCTTTTCCTAAGTACTACTACCTCCTAAGTGATTCTGAACAAAGACTTACCACATCACTTACAAGGTTTCTCAACTGTGTGATCTTGTGAAAACTGAGCTATGTTCAATTATTGCTTAAATACCAACTAAACTAACACAAGTATTTTCTCTCTTATGAGACTCAATGATGATAAGAATTCAGGGTTTTATTAATAAGCATCATTTTGGAGAACTTCTTTCTGATGATTCTTTGATGTTCTTACCACTCTTCTTACTTTCATAAAATGTATTGCCACCATGAGTTTTGCGGTGATGTGAAAGTTTTGATCGCCAACGGAAGCTCTGACCACACGTCTCACACTTGTAAGGTGTCTCCCCTGTGTGAACCCGCTGATGAGACTGCAGCTGCGAAGAGTGGCGGAAGACCTTGCCACACACATCACATTTGTATGGTTTCTCTTCACTGTGAACACTCTGATGAACCTTCAGACTTGAGGCCTGACTGAAGTGCTTACCACACTCCCCACACTTGTAGGGTTTCTCTCCTGTGTGGACCCTCTGATGCATGTCAAGATTCAAGCTCCATTTGAAGCCCTTCCCACATTCCTCACATTTGTATGGCTTTTCTCCCGTGTGGACTTTCTGATGGGCTTGAAGGTGTGAACTGCGACCAAAACTCTTCCCACACTCCTCACATTTGAATGGTTTCTCTCCACTATGGATTCTCTGATGGGCCAGAAGATTTGCAGCCTGCCTGAATACTTTCCCACATTCCTCACAATTAAATGGTTTCTCTCCTGTGTGGATTCTGCAATGAATTTTGAGATCTGCTCTACGATTGAATCCCTTCCCACACTCTTCACATTTGTGTGGTTTCTCACCAGTATGGATCAGCTGGTGAATCTGAAGTCGGGAACTCTGATTGAAGCCCTGCCCGCACTCCTCACACTTGTAAGGTTTCTCTATGCTGTGGGTCTTCAGATGGGATTGAAGATATGCTCTCTGACTGAAGTCCTTCCCACATACCTCACATTTATAGGGTCTCTCTCCCGTGTGGACTACCAGATGAACTTGATAACGGGTTTTTGTACCAAAGTTCTTCCCACACTCATCGCATTTGTATGGCTTCTCTCCTGTGTGGACTCTCTGATGTGCCTGAAGATTTGAACTCATAGTAAAGCCTTTACCACACACTTTGCATACATATGGTTTCTCTCCAGTATGGATTCTCTGATGGGCCCGAAAATGTGAAGGCTGAATGAAGCCCTTCCCACACTCCTCACATTTATAAGGTTTCTCTCGTGTGTGGCCCTTCTGATGGATATGAAGATTTGAGCTACAAAAGAAACACTTCCCGCACTCCTCACATTTGTACAGTTTTTCTCCTGTGTGCACCATACAATGACTATTAAGTGATGATCTACGTCGGAAACTCTTACCACATTTATCACATTTGAAGGGTTTCTCCCCAGTGTGGATTCTCTGATGTTCCTGAAGATGTGAAGCATGAATGAACGCCCTTCCACACTGGTCACAATTATAAGGTTTCTCTTCCATGTGCAATTTATAATGAACATTAAGTGCTGATCTACGACAGAAGCCATTCCCACACTTCTCACATTTGAATGGCTTCTCCACAGTGTGAACTTTCTGATGAGTTTGAAGACATGAGCTCTGGCTGAATTCCTTACCACACTCATCACACTTGTAGCGTTTCTCTCCCAGATGAACTCTCTGATGAATATGAAGTGCTGAGCTGTAACAGAAGCTTTTTCCACACTCACGACATGTATGAGACTTCACTCCCGAGTGTGTTTGTTGATGAAGATCAAGGCTGGAGACATCACTGAAATATTTCTTAAATTCACTAGACTGATCAGGTTTCTGGCCTGTGTGAGTTACAGACTGTCCTGCTCCAACCTGTCCAGGTGAATCACCTTGTTTGGGGAGCTGAGAACTCTTTATCATGGAGCCCTGACACCTGGTTAAGTCACTTGCAATCTGTTGCCAGATACGCCAGCAGGAAAGCTCTTCAGGTGGTTCTGCTTCTATAACAGTCTTCATCTTACTTTGGATCTTTCCTCCTGTAAAGACAGAATGCAGAGATGTGGACAACTGAAGACTCTGTTCAGTGTTCTCAAGGTTTCACATTTAGGAGACAGCATGAGACTTTAATGAATCCAGAGAATACTGGGTTGGTCTTTTCCATTGTGTATCTTATTCTCTGGTTTACACGTGTATGGAATCCAAGAGGGGGTCCAGTGGGCTCCTATCCACTATGCAAGTACACACCAAGTCTCCTTTTTTTTTTTTAAGATTTTATTTATTTATTAGAGAGAGAGAGAACAAACGGGGAGGAAGGGCAGAGGCAGAGGGAGAAGCAGGCTCCCTGCTGAGCAGGGAGCCCGATGCAGGGCTCAATCCCAGGACCCTGGGATCATGACCCGAACCGAAGGCAACCACTTAACTGACTGAGCCACCCACGCACCCTCCACACCAAGTCTCCTAAGAGAGGTACAAGTTAAATGCCAAAGACTTAATTCAAAAATTGATAATATAATTCAAATGTTAACCTATGGCCATTTCCACTGAATTTGAAAGTCAGTGTAGAATTTGAATAGCAAATTACATAGTTAATAAATTATGGAGACAGAAACGTTATATAATAAAACATGAATCAACTAGAACTTCAGGAAAAGCAATAACATAATCAAATTTTGAGTTCATGTTATATATCCTAATATCAAATACCCTGAAATATTTATATTTATATATTCAAAGTATTCCTGGAAATTCTGCACATGTTTACCTAATGTTATCTTTGTTTTGACAGACATTAAATGAGTTGGCTACTATTACAAATTTTTGACCACTTCTAATAATTTCAGTTCAGAAATGTGTTTTCTAAATTATCTCACTGGTGTTCCCAAGTCTCTATATTTATACAAAGGTTATCTGAACATTTGGAGATTATTTTTTCAATAAACTTTTCAATTAGCTTAAGAAGTACTTTTCTTAAAACTCAACAATAAGAAAAAAAAGAACCTGGTTTAAAAATGAACCAAAGACCTTAATATACACCTTACTGAAGAAAATATACAAAGGGCCAGTAAGTGTATGAAAAGATGCTCCACATCTTACATAATCAGGGAAATGCAAATCCAAACACCGATATACCCTACACACATACTAGAATGGCCAAAATCCAGAACACCAACACCATCAAATGCTGCCAAGATGTGGAGCAACCAGAAATGTCATTCATTGCTGGTGGGAATGCAAAATGGTACAGCCACTTTTGAAGAGTTTGGCAGTTTCTTCCTTTCTTTCTTAAGATTTTATTTATTTGAGAGAGAGAGAAAGAGAGAGTGAACACAAGCAGGGGGAGGGGCAGAGGGAGAAGCAGACTCCCTGCTGAGCAGGGAGCCCAATGCAGGGCTCGATCCCAGGACTCCAAGATCACAACCTGAGCTGAAGGCAGACACTTAACCAACTGAGCCACCCAAGTACCCCGGGTTTGGTGGTTTCTTACAAAACTAAACATACTCTTACCATACCTTCCTGCTATTGTACAATTTGGTATTAACCAAAAGGAGTTGAAATTTTAAGCCCACACAAAAAACTATACACAGATTTTTATAGGTTTATTCAAAAGGACAAAACTTGGAAGGAACCAAGGTGTCCTCCAGGAGGTGAACAGATACATATTAACTGTGGTACATCCACACAATGGGATACTATTTGGTGCTAAAAAGAAGTGAGCTATTAAGGCATGAAAAGATATGGAGAAAATGTAATGCATATTACTGAGAGAAGCCACACTGAAAAGTACAATTCCAACTTTACAACATTCTTGAAAAGGCTAAAGTATGGATGGAGTAAAAAGATCAGTTGTTGCCAAGGGTTAGAGAGGAGGGATGAAGAGGTGGAGAATAGGATTTTTAGGGAAGTGTAACTACTCTATATGATATAATAATAGTGTGTACATGGCTTTATCCATTTGTCCAAGTCCATAAAATGTACACCACCAAGAATGAACCCTAATGTAGAGTACAGACTCAGTGATAACGTGTCAATACAGGTTCATCAATTTTATCTGGCAGGGGATATTGATGTAAGATGCTGTGGGTACATGGGGACAGGTTTATATGGAAGATCTCTGTCCCTTTTTGCTATGAACCTAAAACTGCTCTAAAAAAAATAGTCTTTGAAAGCACTACTGAAAAAAATGTTTACAAAAGAGAAATTTGGGCCACTTGGGTGGCTCAGTCAGTTAAGCATCTGCCTTTGGCTCAGGTCATGATCCCAGGGTCCTAGGATAGAGCCCCACATCAGGCTCCCTGCTCAGCAGGAAGCCTGCTTCTCCCTCTCCCTCTCTCTGCTGCTCCCCTTGCTTGTGCACTCTCGAGCTCTCTCTCCCCACCCCGTCAAATAAATAAAATCTTTAAAAAAGAGAAAAATTCACTCCCCTACCTGTATGAACAGTCAATTAAAAGCTGCCCCCTCTTTCAATCCAGCAGACATGTGGTAAACAGCCTCTATATAACTATATAAGCCTTGCATCACTTTATTGGAAAGTTACTTCAGTGTCGAGGTATCTTGAATGTCTAGAATGACTTGTGGGTTTGGGAGCAAATACCCAAAGCACATGGACTAAAATAAGCATAAAGCAGAGAGTGGAACTTAAGTTTCTACAGGCAAGTTTCCTTCATGAGGACAAAAGGGAAATAAAGCTGAACAGAAAATATACATGGCTCTAAAACCTGACAGAAATTCAGATCTCTAGGAAAAATGTGAAAACAACAGAAATGGAGCCTGGGAGAAGGAAAAGGTAAGGTTACAGTATGAACTCTGAAAGCCAATCCTAGAGTGGGAGTTCAATCCTGCCAGGAACTCTTCCCAGACAGATGCATGGATGGTTCCTAATGATTTTTAGGTCTCTGCTCACAGTGAGCCCAGCAACAAGCCCCTTTACCGCCCAGTGTAAAATAATCAATCCTGTCCTCACCCAGTTCACCTCCGGTGTCTCCTATCCCTCCTTTTTTACGTTCCATGCAGCACCTTGCACCATGTAACATGCTAAGTGATCTGTTGTTCACCATGTCTTTTCCACCATGATGCAGCATCAAGGAGGGAAACATGTTACACCTTTTGGGCTGAACACATTTTACACTTTCCTACTTTATAACCAATGTCCAGAATCATGTCTGGAACATGGTGCATAGTCAACAAATGCATGATGAATGAATAAATGAATCCCAGTTTGACTATTCTGGTGAGAGTTTAAGCCAAGTCTTAGAAGGAAAACATCTTTTCCAAGTAAGTTATTTGAAACAGAAAAGGGACAGAACACTGTGGTTTTGCTGGGAAGCTGAAAAGCTGTATAGGGGACATCAAGAACCAGAGGTACATGACGCAGGATGCTAATAAGAAAATCAAAGGTGGGGGCGCCTGGGTGGCTCAGTCGGTTTGGCATCTGCTTTCGGCTCAGGTCATGATCTCAGGGTCCTGGGATTGGCCCCACGTCGGGCTCTCTGCTCAGCGGGAGTCTGCTTCTCCCTCTCTGTGCTCGCTCTCTCTCAAGTAAAAAAAAAAATAAAAGAGAAAATCAAAGGTAGCAAGAATCCCTGGGATGAAAAGAAAGAAGAGCCTATTGCTGGTTCCTTCTGAAGCTTTAGGACTGTCTGTCTGATAAAAGAGTGTAGAAAAACAATACATATACAAATGTGTGGATAAAATAGCCCATCACAACAATTTTTCAAATTAAAAAGCTCTAATACTCCAGTGAGCTGGAAATATTTAAAAGCATATAATAAGCTTTCAGAAAAAAGAACCAGGACAGAAACTATCAAAGCATCACAGCCAACAGGACAGGGGTCATTACATAAAATGCCTATGAAAGTCACAGATGTGAACTCACACGTGAAATGTTTGTTCTGATTACAATGAAAGATCCATTTCTTACTATGGCTCATGCTCAAAAAAACTTGAAAACTTTGGTTCTAGAAGTTCCCCAGTTCTTAAACAAATTGTTCAAATGGAAAGATAAGTTGCAAGAACAGAATCTTGGAAAAATATTACTTAGGTGAGTATGTACTTTTTTGGTAGGTAATGTAGTTCATGGTTATGTTTAACAAACTGACCCTTGGAAAGAGTAGTTGTGTGGGGTGCCTGGGTGGTTCAGGCAGTTGAGCAGTCAGTTCTTGGTTTCGGTTCAGGTCATGATCTTAGGGTTGTGAGATCGAGCCCCGCGTCAGGTTCCATGCTTGGCAGGGAGTCTGCTTGAGGATTCTGTCTCTCTCCCTCTGCCCCTCCCACCACCTGCACACATGCTCTAATAAATAAATCTAAAAAAAAAAAAAAAAAAAGAGTAGCTGTGTGAGGGGAACAGGGAATACCTCTGAGGATGTGACAGTAAGTTTCCTGATTCTCTCTAGGTTAGAATGTTCACTAGTTGAAAAACACCCAATCTTCATTAAAAATCAAGGGAAAACTGTATGACATCTATATTCTTTAACATTTGTTTAATGGCTAAATTTGTAGAAAAAGCACGATATATTTTTGAACCAGATATACAGGCAGCATTCACGTATGTGTCTCCTATTACTCTCACCTTAAATCTTCCTGCTCAAGAACAAGGAAGGGGAAACCAGGGGGCAGTAACATGGGTGGGGGCTTTGAAAGAGGCAAATGGGCTGCAGATGGCAAATCTTCAAGAGGAAGGCAGCTTACAACCTGGTTGACACTGACACTAGAGGAAACAGATCTTTCTCCCTCTGTTGGGGGATCTGAGAATCAGAATCAGAATTCTCATCCCAAAAGTATTCTTCCCAGAAATGAAACTGCCCCCTAATGGAAGATTCCAGGAAAGCCACAGGCAAAGGGTGTTACTCAGTATGTTTACAACCACAATGCTTCTAAGTTTCTCTGGGACACGGGTCAAGTGCACAGACCAACACACATTCATGCCAAGGGCACCCCCAAGAAAGTGAGTGAAACAGCAAGTAACTGGATAGGCATTAATCAGAAGACAAACAATGTCCTGCAACATCCTTCATTCACTCTGGTTTGCACATGACCTACAGCTATCTGCCCGACCCATGGAGACACAGGGGTCTCCCATCCATTGACACATTCACCAAATCAACACATATTTCCAGACACCTGCCACATACCTGATGATTCTAGGCACTGAGGACAGAGCAATGAACAAAAGAGACACAGTCCCTCACTTGTGGGGATCACACTCCAGGGGAGACAACAGATGACCAAACAAACGAAAACATATGAGGCACAATATAAGGAGGAGGAATAAGGAGAGTAAAGGGAGGGTGATGTTTTACGTAAGTTGGTCAGAAAAGGCCTCTCTTGTGACATTGAAACTGGGCACAGACAGGAAGGAAGGAAGAAAGGAAGGAAGGAAGGAAGGAGGGAAGGAAGGGAGGGAGGTGGGGAGGGGAAGGAGGGAGGGGAGGCAGGGGGCGTGGGATTTCAGGTAAGAGTGCACCAGCCAGGGGGTAAGGGCTCTGAGGCAGAAGGATATGTAGTAGGCAGATTAACCGGCTCCCAAAGAATCCATGTCCTGATTTTTGGAGCCCAGAATATGTTACATAACACAGCAAAGGGGAATTAAGGTTGCAGATGGAATTGAGGCTGCTAATTAGCTGACCTTAAAATGGAAGACTATCCTCTATTTTCTGGGTGGGCTCAAAGCAACGGAAAGGCTCCTTCGAGATGGAAGAAGAGCGTAGGAAGGCAATGTGACTGCAGAAGAACGGACAGGGAAAAGCAAGGCTGCTGGCAGTGAAGATGGAGGAAAGGGGCCACAAGTTTAAAAACCTGGGGTAACTTCTAGAAGCTGAAAAAGCAAAGACACAGATTCTCTCCTAGAGCCTCCAAAAAGAAATGCATCTGTGCAGACACTTTGACCATAGCCCAGTAAAAACCATGTCACACCGAGGACCCGCAGAACTGTGCGGCAGTCCACCTGTGTCGTTCTAAGCCGCGCAGTGTGTGGCAATCTGTGACAGTGGCAGTGGGCACTGCAGCGTCGCTGGCCAGGCTGAGAAACATGGGGGGCGCGATGTGAGTGGAGGGGGTGGAGCAAGAGAAGTGGAGAGGTGATGTGGGAGAGACAAGCACACCGTGGAGGACTCCAGCAGCCACATGAAGAGGTTTTAACTCCGGAAACCTGGGTGGCTCAGGCGGTGAAGCGGCTGCCTTCGGCTCAGGTCATGATCCCGGGGTCCTGGGATCGAGCCCCGCATCGGGTGCCCTGCTTGGAGAGGAGGCTGCTCCTCCCTCTACCTCTGCCTCTCCCCGCTTCTTGCACTCTCTCTTTCTCTCTAAAATAAATAAATACACTCTTAAAAAAATAAAAAATAAAGAGGCTTAAACTCAAAGAAAAATAAGCCACACAGGGTTTTGAGCAGAGGAATGGTGCCCTGACTTGCACTTCCTAAGGATCACACTGGTCGCTACATGGAGAACAGACAATACAAGGGAAGCTGTGGAAACAGGTGTGCCGTACAAAGACGGCTGAAATGATTCAAGATGGGGTCTGGCCATTTGGACCAGGTGAGATGGTCACCTGAGGGGGAAGAAGTAAGACACACGGAAGAACACCGGCAAGGACTCCCATCTGCTTGGTTCTTAACCTGATCTCTCTTCTCTGTTGGTTGCTGGCATCATCCAAAGCTTTTTTGCTCTAAGTGGAACATATCATGTCTAAAGGGGTGCTGCGTTGTGAACATGCAAAGTCACATATTTATTTTTTTTTTTAAAGATTCTATTTATTTATTTGACAGAAAGAGACAGCGAGAGAGTGAACACAAGCAGGGGGAGTGGGAGAGGGAGAAGCAGGCTTCCCGCTGAGCAGGGAGCCCGATGCGGGGCTCGATCCCAGAACCCTGGGATCATGACCTGAGCTGAAGGCAGACGCTTAATGACTGAGCCACCCAGGCGCCCCTGCAAAGTCACATATTTAAGATGAACACACAAGGGCGCCTGGGTGGCTCACTCAGTTAAGTGTCTGCCTTCGGCTCAGGTCATGATCCTGGGATACCGGGATCCTGGGATCAAGCCTCCCATCGGGCTCCCCACTTAGCAGAGTCTGCTTCTCCCTCTTCCTCTACCCCTCCTCCCCTCTCAAGCCCTCTCTCTCTCAAATAAATAAAAATCTTTAAAAAAAATTAAAAAATAAAATGAACACACAAAAGGTACAAATGGGTATTTGGATTCCTACACATACCGGTCAATTAATCAAAATCAGCGTTTTTCAAACATTTAAAAAAATATGACCTATTTCAAGACCCAGACATATATGCATGACAGAAACCTATTTCTAACCAATGTCTATCACACAATCGGCAGGAGATTTTTACTGTGATGTATTCATTACAGCTAACTGAGATTTTCAAACTGAGATAACAAACCGAGATTTTCTACTTTATTAAAAAAACTATTGGTACACCCATCTACACAGGTAACCATTTCAAAAGCCCCGAAGCCTTGAATACCCAAGGACACAGTCAATCCAGGAAGCGGATATTGAGGCATACAGCGCCTATGCTCACCCACAGAAATCAGATTCCTGAAGTTCTCCAGCATCACGTCTCCGTACAGCTTCCTCTGGGCGGGGTCCAGCAGCCCCAGCTCCTCCTCCGTGAAGACCACGGCCACGTCCTTGAACGTCACCGTCTCCTACAACATCAAGCACACACAACCTCAATCTTGCACCCAGTGGCCACTGGGGGTGGGGCAGCATTGAGGAGGTGGAAAGGATGGTGTGAAGTGGTTTCAGAGTTTGAGGGACTCAAGTCCATCGGCAGGCTTCCAGGCCCTTCTCCTGCTACCCTGCCAATGCCACACACTGAAGTTCCTTCAAGGATTAAACAAGGGAATAGCTATTGCCTTTGGAACAGTACATGGCACAGAGTAGGTGCCTAACAAACATCTGATATCAATCGTATTTCTTCATGTTGCCAACACCAGTACCTTTTCCATCACATTTTGTGGCTCTGTGTTATCCCAGAGAACAGATCCTCTATCCTTACCTGTTCTGAACAAATGATATTTAATTTTACATATTTTTCCCATTATAACCCATCTGCAAAGTACGTCGTTTTACGTAGATCTTGTTGCCCTGCCTGATGACTTGAAAATAATTGCTAGAGAAAATTAAAAGGTCAAAAATGGGCCCATTTAAAATTACGATCATATGATGATAGATTTTCTTCCCAATCTTTTTCGTACTTCCCTAATCTTTCAAGGGAATACAACAACCCGGGTTCTCCATACAATAGCCAAGAGCAGGTTGCGTGTTTTTCTATGGTTTTGCAATCTGATTTGGAAGAACAAGTTGTATAAGTATTCCCACTTATTTGATTGTAAATTAATAGAACTACCTTTTCAGGGGCGCCTGGGTGGCTCAGTTGGTTAAGCGTCTGCCTTTGGCTCAGGTCATGATCCCGGAGTCCCGGGATCGAGCCCCACATTGGGCTCCCTGCTCAGCGGTGAGCCTGCTTCTCCCTCTCCCTCCCTCCTCACCCCCACTCGTGCTCTCTTGCAAATAAATAAAAAATATCTTAAAAAAAAAAAAAAGGACTACCCTTTTTAGATGTTTATTCGTATTTCTCCTTTTTAACATGGCTGTGCATATCCTTCTTTATATTCCATTGGGTTTTTTTTTTCCCCTTTCCCATATGCGTAAGTTTCCTATTATGGGCTTTGTCTCTTTTTTTGGCATCCCTGTGGTAAATATTTTTGCCCCAGGTTACTGTTCCTGGTAATTCCATGTAAGGTGTCTTTTGCCACAGAGGAATTTAAAAATTTTATACAAGGATTGTGCTAACTGCTGTCTTTGCGCCTGCAGGTCAGTGAAGGGGAGCAGCCACAGGAAGAGACACAGCCCAAGACAGGGGTCAGGGACAGCGCCACCTGTGGAAATCATCTCTCAGAAGAGCGCTCCAGGGGCGCCTGGGTAGCTCAGTCGGCTAAGCGTCTGCCTTCGGCTCAGGGCATGATCCCAGGGTCCTGGGATCGAGCCCCACATTAGGCTTCCTGCTCAGCGGGGAGCCTGCTTCTCCCTCTGCTTCTGCCACATCACTGCCTGTGCCTGCACTCTCTCTCTGCCAAAAAAATAAAATCTAAAAAAAAAAAAAAAAAAAAAAAAGCGCTCCAGACACACACACCACAGGGCCCAGGGCCCGAAATGAACTCTGTCTTCCTGTCTACCTCTTTCACTCGAGCAGAATGCCTCACACTCCTGCCCCTGGTTCCTTGTGTGAATCTGAGTGGGTCTCTCATAGTCACATGTTTAAGATGATGATAAGGCCGACACCTCCTCCCTCCGCTGCTCTGAGAAGCCAAGGCACAGAATGCAAGTCACTGGCCGATACTAGGACCGAGGCACGGGGAAGATGGAATCCAGCTCTCCCTGAGTGCAAACCTCCAGCAAGATCTGTGTGAAGCAGCACTTCCAGCCTGCTCTGCTCTGCCTGCAGTTAAGATATTCCACATAAAAAACAGCCTCCCTGGCACGTATCAAACGTGAGGACAAAAAGCTAGCAGACTGTTTTCAGCGCTGACGTGGGGGGACAAGGTTTTCTGTCAGAAAGTGGTCACCGCAGTGCTGCTTGAGACAATAAAATTCCTAAACCATGGACGTGCCTATGAATGGGAAGGAGTTAAAGATAGAAAGATACATCAATTCAATGGGAATGGGATGCAACCGTAAAAAATGAACATTACTTAACATTAAAGGGAAAAAAAAAATCATAATTTAAAATTAAGTGTATATTATGAATACAAATTCAGTTATGTATGCCCACAAAGATAGGAGTAGGAGAAAGTTGAAACGGCTCATTTGTCAGGTGGGAATTAATGAAGTGGGAGAATTACTCATTTCTAGTCATTTTTTTACTCTGTAAGATAAATAATAATAAAACAAAAACCAAAAATACATGCAAAATAAATTCAAAAGGGACAAAGTAAGACCCTGATGGAAAATAGGTCCTCAAATGCCTGTTGCTCTGTTTGAGTCATCCCCAGAAAAATGTGTGATGACCTGAGTAATGAGATGGAATTTGTAAAGTGAGAAAGGCAAGCCCTACTCACCTTGAACATGGTCATGTGTCCTCCTACTTCCGGGGGTGTGTAGAGTCCCGAATTGCACAGGTACCAGGAAGGTGGAGCTGCACCTGGCGAGGTGCCTAGGAAGGCAGAAAAAAAGGCTTTAAAGGTAGCCCAGGATGCTGCTCACCTACATGGATGATGACTGTGAATCCGTACATGATCTGTACACGAACATTCACAGCACCATTATTCATTAATAACCCTCATACTGGAAACCACCAAGATGTTCAGCTATGACCTATGCAGGAATGAACAAATTGTGGCAAATCCATACAATGGAATATTATTGGCCAATTAAAAGGAAGGAGTACTGATCACACTACAGCATGGATGAACCTTGTAAACACTGCTGAAAGTGAAAGACACCAGTCACAAAAGGTCAGATACTGTAGGATTCTTTTTCTATGAAATGTCCAGAAGAGGGAAATCTACGGAGACAGAAAGCAGGTTAGTGGTCTCTGGGGTATTAGGGGAGAAAATGGGGCGTTAACTGAAAATGGGCATGAGGAATCCAACTGGGGAAACAAAAATGGTCTAAACTGAATTATAGCAATCGTTGCACCACTCAGCAAAGTTACTAAAAATCATTGATTCATGGGGTGCATCTGGGTGGCTCAGTTGGTTAAGTGCCTGCCTTTGGCTCAGGTCATGATCCCAGGGTCCTGGGATCGAGCCCCATGTTGGCCTCCCTGCTCTGCGGGGAGTCTGCTTCTCCCTCTCCCTCTTCCCCACCCCTTACTCACAATCTCTCTCTCTCACAAATAAATAAAAATCCTCTCTCTCAAATAAATAAATCTTTAAGAATGCCCACTAACAAGTGTATCTTCCCATAAGAAGACTTTATTAATTCCGATGAAAAAAAAATAGTACCTTTAAAATGGAGAAACCTAATAGAAATCACCTTAGCTAGTCAACAAAGTTGAGTTCACCAAAACATAGACAAACCAACATCCTTTGGCTCCTGTTATGCTGCAATGACAAGGATGCCTCAATGGTTCTGCGGAATCCCTGCCAAAGACGCAGAACAAAACCTAAACATGTATACATCAGATAAACCCCAAATGAAGAACTTTCTCCAAAATGACCTCCCTCTATACTCTTTAAAAAGCATCAAGAACCGGCTCCTGGGCGGGTGAGTCGACTGGGTGTCTGACTGTTGATTTCGGCTCAGGTCATGATCTCAGGGTCATGGGATTGAGCCCTTGTCGGGCTCCACACTGAGCACAGAGTCGGCTTGAGATTCTCTCTCTCCCTCTTCCTCTGCCCCTTCCCCCACTTGCATTCTCCCTCTCTCTAAATAAATAAAATCTAAAAAATAATAAAAAATAAATATAAATAAATATTGCTTCAGGAACAGGGGCACCTGGCTCAGTCAGTACAGCATGCGACTCTTGATCTTGGGGTCACGAGTTCGAGGCCCCACACTGAGCATAGAGCCTACATGGAAAAATAAAAAGTTAATAAAGAAAAGCATCAATGAAAAAGACAAAGGCTATGGAACGCATTCCACGTTAAGGAACATCAAGTATGATAAAGTTTTTGTAAATGTTTATAAACAAATATACAGCTTATGGCAAAGCATAAAATTGGGACTTTGAACTGGGATGGGGAAGGGAGACTGGTTATAAGGCCTTTGAATGAAAAACAGAACAAAATTAACTACAAGACTGTGGATTACATAACAGGATGTTATATAACGTTTTCCACCATTATCTAACAGGTAACACTATTAACTACTGTTAGTAATAACTTACTAGATACCTAACATCTAATTGATAACTAATAGATACTATTATGTAGTATAATATCTAATATTACCAACTAAGTGGTGCTAAATTTCTATAATCAGCCTCTCCTAAATCCCTCTTCCCAAGATACCTCCTGATACCCGTATGTGGGACTTCCTTCCTTCAGAAAGCTAAAACAAGCTGTCAATGAATTACAGGTATATTCCTGGTGTTATGTGGCTGATGGAGCCACAAAACAGGCAAAATGTTAACAATTGGGGTATTTGGGTAAAGAGTATATGAGAATTCCTTAATACTATTTTTGCAACTTTTCAATGGAAAAATTTTTAATTATATAAAAACAAAGTCTTGGGGCACCTGGGTGGCTCAGTCATTAAGCGTCTGCCTTCGGCTCAGGTCATGATCTCAGGGTCCTGCAATCGAGCCCCGCATCGGGCTCCCTGCTTGGCGGGAAGCCTGCTTCTCCCTCCCCCACTCCCCCTGCTTGTGTTCCCTCTCTCATTGTGTTTCTCTCTGTCAAATAAATAAATAAAATCTTAAAAAAATAAAAATTAAAAATAAGTAAAGTCTTAAAATATCAGGAAACAGTCATAACAGTAATAATGGGAATAACAAAGATGATCATGAAATTTTATGGAAGCTCATTAGTTTATTCTTTCTTGGCAGTGTTTAAAAGTTTCCATAGTTATGGGGCACCTGGCTGGCTCAGTCAGTGGAGCATGCAACTCTTCATCCTGGGGTTATAAGTTTGAGCCCCACATTGGGTAGAGATTACTTAAAGATAAAATCTTAAGGGGTGCCTGGGTGGCTCAGTCAGTTAAGTGAAAGACTCTTGATTTAGGCTCAGGTCATATCTCAGGGTCCTGGGATCAAGCCCTGCATCAGGCTCCACGCTCAGCAGGGAGTCTGCTTAAGATTCTCTCCTTCTCCCTCTGCCCCATCCCCTGCATGAGCAGGCACACTCTTCATGCGTGCTCTCTCACTCTCCCCCCACCCAATAAATAAATAAATAGATCTTTTTTAAAAAAATAAAGAGGGTGGGGGGATGGGGTAACTGGGTGATGGGTATTAAGGAGGGCACGTGTTGGGATGAGCACTGGGTGTTATATGCAACTAATGAACTGTTGAACACTACAACAAAAACTTATGACGTACTGTACACTGGCTAACTGAACGTAATAAAAAATAAAAAAAATAAAAATAAATTATCATAAAAAAAATAAAGAATAAAATAAAATCTTAAAAAAAATTTCCATAGTTAAAATACATCAGGGGACAAACACAAAGAAATATAAGATAATTTGTTTATAAACAAACATAACAAACATACACAAAGAACCACCAAACAGAAATGCATTAAAAGCTTCACAGTTGCTATCTTTACATTATGGATTAATGGATAATTGAAAATTTTTTTCCCTCATATTTCTGTATTTTCTGAATTTTCCATCATGATTCTATATGAATAAAACATATTATTAGTAATAAGTGAAACAGAATAGTTGACAATATTTGAAAAAACTCAGAAAAGTCGAAGCCCATTAGCCTTGCTTTTCAGGTCCTCCAGAATCAATTGCTAACTACCCGGGGTCTGATTCCTGCTAGTTCCTATGGCTTAAGGAGAACATATCCAAGAGATTAGGAACTCGAGTTCTGGACTCAGACTGCTTTCATCCCAACCCCAGCTCAGCCTCTTTACTAGGTGGGGACTATGGGCAAATCATTTATGTTCCGTGGGTCTCAATATCATTTTAGAGAACAGAAAAAGAAAGCAGAATTTCTTCACAGAGTTATGGTGTGGTACAATGTATTCATTTGTATAAAACCGTCATTGGTGAGGTCGGCAATTAAGGATTCATTATTAATGCCCACGCCCGATTACACATCCTATATATTATCTGACTGATGTGAATACTGTTATAAAAGAAAAATGCCAAATCCCACTCACGTGGAACCTTGCTGTCAGTAGCCAAGGCGTCACTCCTTCCACCTCTGTGCAGCCCTTTGTGAGAAGTCAGGCTGGGGAAAGAAAAGAATGTTATGAAATGCCATGATCGTGTCGCCCTTCTCAATAAAAGTTAAAACCTCCCCTCCCCTCCGTGCAATCTGGAAGCAACCCTTGTCAACAACTAGAGCCCAAGACCTGATGTTTACTGCCCACCTGCTTGTACTCATTAACCTTTGTCTTACATTTTTCTTTAAGCTCTTCTCCCCTAGCTTACCTTGGGAGAGGGAGAAGCAGGCTTCCCGGGGAGGAGGGAGCCTGATGCTGGGCTTGATCCCAGGACCCTGGGACCAAACGACCAAGCCACCCAGGTACCCCTCTAGCTTACCTCTTAACTCAGGCAAGTGAAACCCGAAACCAGGCCTTGGGTGATGACAACTGCCAAGACATTCCTCAGGCCCAGACCACCCAGACCTTCAGAGCCCAAATCATGCTTGCACAGAAGAACCATGGAGTGACTTCTGGAATGACCTATTTCCTTTGCTTCATTTTAATACTAAAATCTCTGCCCAAGGTGGGGGGAGGGAGGGAGGGCTCAGCCTCATTTACATAACATACAGTGTATGTATAGGCATGTTTCCTTAAGGCGCATGCTCAACCTTATGCCCGCCTCTACATAGGATGACAAGACTTCCCTATCTAAAACTCCTTCCTAACCCTAAACAAAAGGAACCCATTCACCCTCTTTTGGGGAATCACGGTTTTGGAAGCCATTCCCTGTGATTTCTTTATTTGTGGCAAATAAGCTTCCTTTGTGCAATGATTCAACCTGGTAGTTTCTGACTCACCAAGAAGGGAACTCACGTTGGTTCTGTTACACCCTCGCCTTCCTAAAAGAGAGATTATAAGGGTCCTTGGATTACCCAGCATCATGCAGGAATCAGAGAAGAGAGAAAGTTCTGTCGTGGGATATCTGACCCTAACCCGGGGACCTGACTGCTCCTCAGGAAATTAATACTAAGAAAGGTCACCATTCACCATGTGCCAGAACCCGTTTTGAGATTTTTATTTGTATCACTATAACTGACACGCACCTGGCTCTGGGATTCCCAAACAGACCAGACTCGGCCTCTTGCCCCTGACAAAATCCACAGAGAAACGAGTGGTGGTGAAATAAGAAAGGAAATTTATTTCAGTGAGGCCAACACCAAAAAGACTACAAACAGCTCAAAGATTGTCTTCAGGGTACTGAAAATACTTCCAGGTTTATACAAGGAAAATGTGGGGCAATGGCAGGTGCGCAG